CTGGTGATGATGAGAAGCAACTGGAACTCCCAAGTAACTTTCTTAGTGAAAGTATAAATCAGTACAACTATTATGGAAAACTTCTTGGCATTATCTACTAAAGCAAAACTATAGACCAACAATTCTATTCCTAGGTTCTACACTAATCCATCATTCATCAAGTGAGAATGATGAACAACTCATCAGAAATGTAGATAGATAGCTGTCTGCCAAAAGGCATGTGCCAGAATGTTTATAGCATTATTGATAATAGCATCATACTTGGAAGCTACCCAAATGCCCATCAAGAGCAGAATGGATACATAAATGGTGGTCTTCAGACATTTTGGGTTGTCTTTAACTGCTTAGGGAGGACTGCTTAGGGAGAATGCTACTGGCATCTAGCGCATACAGGCCAGGGATGCTGCTAAACATACTACAATGCACAGAACAGCCCCCAGCAGCAAATAATTAGCCCCAAATGCCAAAGATCTTGATGTTATAGAGTGTATTAGTCCATTTTCACACTGCTGACATACCCAAAGACTGGATAATTTGTAAAGAAAAAGAAGTTTAATGGACTCACAGTTCCACATGGCTCGGGAGACCTCACAATCATGGTGGAAGGTGAAAGGCACATCTTACATGGTGGCAGACAAGAGAGAATGAGAATCAAACAAAAGGGGAAACCCTTATAAAATCATCAGATCTTGTGAGACTTATTCACTACCACGAGAACAGTATGGGGGAGACTGCTCCCATGATTCAACTATCTCCCCCCAGGTCCCTCCCACAACACATGGGAATTATGTAAGCTACAATTCAAGATGAGATCTGGGTGGGGACACAGCCAAACCATATCATAGAGCAATGAAAATGAATGAACTGCAACTATACAACTACATGCAATGATATGGTTGAACTGCCTAAGTATAATGTCAAAAGATTCAAAACACAAAAGTACATACTGTATGATTCCATTTACATAAAGAATAAAAATAAGCAAAATTAATTGGCGATATTAGAAGTCAGGACAACCCTCACTCTTTGAGTATGAGGATTAGTAAATGGATGTGACTATGGGGCCCTGGGAGGGGATTCTGGTTTTTGGTCATGTTCTGCTTTTTGACCTGGGTGTATTCAGTTTGTAAAAATTCATTAACCTCGTACACTTACAATGTGTTCTCTGGAGTGTTTTTAAGTGTTTGTTGCCATGAATCTAATCAAGCCTTTAGCCTTAACTTAAGAAATTCAAGGGAAGAAATGCGTTTAACAAGAAACTTCCATCTAACAAGAACTTCAGGAAATTCAGGTAAATGACACTAAAAGGAACATTCCTAACGTGGGATAATCTACTAGGTAAATGGCCTGCTCTCTTTAAAAGATCGACATCATAAAAATAAAAGATTGGGGACAGAAATAGAAAGAACTTAAAAGAATCAAGTGTGCTAAAGCCTGACTGGTTCCTAGTTAGAAAAAAAAAGTCATGAAAGGCTTTGGGATGACTGGGCCTGTGGGTAACCCCCCATATAGGTACCAAGGAAGGAGAGCTAAGCAGAATCCTGGCACAATTAAGACCTGGAGAATATCTTAGTTTATAGTGTTACTACTGAGTTATTTCCCTTTATACAATCCTCTCTATATAATCATATATTAGTTCATAGAATGAGTGCCTAAAGAATATCTTACCACTCAGTTATTTCCATATATATATATATATATATATATATATATACAAAACGATATCAGTTTATAATCGGAGGAATGCCTAGAGCAGACACAGTGCAGAGCATGATTTAAGGGGAAAATAGTTATACCAGGACAAGAACCCAGGGCCCAGGTGGCAGCATTCAGTATCATAAAGATATCCACTGTATGGCAGGCTTGGGGCGAGAGCCACTCCTCCTGATAAAGGAGTTGTAGGATCTTGCTCCAGTTCTTGTGGAAGGCTGCCCTCAGACCGGCAATCCACCTTGGTGACTGTGAACTTTATCAGCTCTTGTTACTGTGCTGCTGGAAAAGCATTCCCCTGTAGAACTCATTGGAAGCTGCCAGCAGGTGGCGTAGACCCTGACAGCTCTGTCACTGCTATGTGACTTAAAGCATCCTCCTATAATTCTTCTTAGTAGCTTGCCCATAGATAGAGGTATTGCACACTGCACCCTCTTCACTGCGCACAGCCCACCTCCATGACTCGGTGACCTAATGGGGGTGGACCCTTCCTGCACACGGCCCTTGCCTCGATGACCTAATGGGAATGGGCCCCTTGCTGCACACTGTCTACCTCCTAGCCTAGGTGACCTAATGGGGGTGGACCCCTTGTTTTATTGCTCATGACCCTATCACTATCCTTAAAGATGACTTCACTCACTGCCCTGCCCCCTAACCTATACACAATAAATACACTTCTGGACATTCGGGGCCTCACGTGACTCCACTCATAGGTGGCGCGGCTGCCTGAGCCCAGCTGCATTTTCCTTGTACTTCTGTGTCCTGTCTCTTTATTTCTCAGATCCTGACAGCACAGCATAAGGGACACCCCACAACCCTGTGGGCTATCAGCCCTACATGGAGCCACATGAGTGTGGACGGGGTTGTTAGAGAATTACTAAGTTTTCTTAGCAGTGGTGATACAATGGTTATGCAGAATAAGGGCTTTTTTTTTTTTTTTTTTTTTTTTTTTTTGAGACGGAGTCTAGCGCTGTCGCCCAGGCTGGAGTGCAGTGGCACAATCTCAGCTCACTGCAACCCCTGCCTCCAGGTTCAAGCAATTCTCCTGCCTCAGCCTCTTGAGTAGCTGGGATTACCGGCACGTGCGCCACCTCAGCCTCTTGAGTAGACAGGATTACAGGCACGTGCGCCATGTGGCTAATTTTTGTAATTTTAGTAGAGATGGGGTTTCACTGTGTTGGCCAGGCTGACCTCGTGATCCACCCGCCTCTGCCTGCCAAAGTGCTGGGATTACAAGCGTGAGCCACCGTGCCTGGCCAAAGGGCATTATTTTTATTTTTTGAAAGCAGTCTCACTCTGTCACCCAGGCTGGAATGCAGTGGCCCTATCGCAGCGCACTGCAACCTCTGCTTCCCAGGTTTAAGCGATTCTCCTGCCTCAGCCTCCTGAGTAGCTGAGATTACAGGCACGTGCGCCACCACGCCCAGCTAATTTTTTTTATTTTTAGTAGAGGCGGGGTTTCACCATGTTGGCTAGGCTGGTTGCAACTTCTGACCTTAGGTCATCCTCCCTCCTTAGCCTCCCAAAGCTCTGGGATTACAGGTATGAGCCTCCGCGCCTGGCCAAGGGCGTTGTTTTTAAGAGCTATATGCTCAGTATTTGGTGTTGGGGTGAAATGTCGTATCTACAATTTTCAAATGATTCAGAAAAAGATACACAAAGCAAATATGCAAACTGTTAACAAGTGCTGGAATCTACGAGGTATCATGATATTGTCTTTTCAAGTTTTCTTGATTTAGTTTTTTTATAATACAAAAGTTGAGGGGAACTGCAGGCTGGATAGTTTTGATCCGATGTTATTCTACTAGTCTAATCTTTTAAAGGTGACTTATGGTGGCTCACGCCTACCCAGCACTTTGGGAGGCTGAGGCGGGTGGATCACCTAAGGTGAAGAATTCAAGACCAGCCTGGCGAACATGGAGAAACCCCATCTCTACTAAAAATACGAAAACTAGCCTTAGCCAGGCGTGGTGGCTGGCGCCTGTAGTTCCAGCTACTCGGGAGGCTGAGGCCGTAGAATCATTTGAACCTGGGAAGCAGAGTAGGGACTCCCCAACGCTTTGGCTTTCAGAACAAGGGTTCGAATTCTGGGGCCATGACTTTCTGACCGTGTGATTTTTTTTTACAAGCATCTTAACCCAGGCCTCAGTTTCCCCATCAGTAAAGGGGAACAGGAATTCCTATCCTTTCGGGGTGTGGTGAGTGTTACGTAAGCCCAAGGAGCCCCAACCTGCGGTGAGAGGCTAGAGGCCGAATGGGGGGATTTGAGGGGCTCTAGGTCCCTGGACCAACCTCTGGGCGACAGGGAAGAGGCGGCTGCGGGGCCGAGTCCTTTCTAAGTGGCCATGCGAAGGGCCCTGAGTTGAGGCGGGTTACAGCACTTCCTTGAGCCCACCCAACCCAACGTGTCACAAATAAAGCCGGCCTTTCTCGGATTCCCAGATTGCGGCCACTCGGAGCAGCAGCCCCTTGCCCACGCATCCCTTCGCCGGCGGCGGCTGCAGGGGCAGCACTCCAGGCTCAGCGCCTGCCTCGGACCCGAAATCAGGCTGTTTCCTTCTAGACCTCCCGTTGGGGATTCAAGCTGGCGTCCAGGTCGAAGAACAGGGGCAAAGTCCTCATGCAGGCAAAGGTAAGAACGAGCTTCAGCAAAATGCCGACTAAGGCTTCCTTAGGTTTTGCCCCACTCCAAGATGGAAGGTCCGCGGCTTCACACTGTCCCTAACGTTCCCTTCCCATTGGCTACTTGGGAATTTTTTTTTTTTTTTCAATAATGTGGACGCTAATTGGTCAATCTAGGACGGTTGCTCAAGTCATTGGCGCAGCCGCCATTGGAGGACGGCTCTCAAAAAATTTTCAAACACAAATTAGGTTCGAGGAAGGAAAGCGGGAGGAAAGGTAAAGCTTGAGACGGAGGCGGGACCAAGGAAATGGCAGCTTGCATTGGTTCATTAGAGGCCAAGGGGCGGCTCTTGAATGCTCTTTCCTCTTGATTAGTCCGATTTAGGAAAAGAGGGCGGGTACTTAGGGAAAGCGGCAGAAGCGCCTGCTTCCATTGGTCAGTCCTGGCAGGAGGCGGAGCGCCCGCGGCAGCTGATTGGTGCGGGAGGCTAGGCGGGCGGGGCTCTGAGCCGGAGGTTTTGTTGTGAGGGTCGGTTGTCAAGCAGCGGCCAATCAGGGCAGGCGATGGAGGTAAGTGGGGGTCGCGCCTGGAGCAGAGCCTTGGCCTCCGGAGCCGCAGATGCAGGTAGAGTGGGCAAGGGGACGAGGAGGCGAGGGGACCGTGGGGTCTGGGCTTGTGGGCAGAGGGCTCTGGGCGTGGGAAGGCTAGAGCCCGTACTCCGCAAGCAGAGGGTTGGGAGAATCAGCCGAGGCCGAGGGACCTGCCCCAGCCTCCGGACAAGATGGATCGGCATGGAGGCCGGAGGGGGCACAACCGGGGAGGCTGGAAGCAAAGCTGGGGGTCTGCAGGAGGATAGGTAATGAATAGGGAAAGGAGAAGCAGGAGAATGAATGAATGGGAGACCCCGGGAACATATGGGAAAGGGCAGTAACAAGGATCTGGCGAGTCAGGGACCACGTGAGGGAGTTCAGGAGACAGGATGTGCATGAGTGGGAGACTCGGGGCAGGGAGAAAAGGGGGTGTGAACGGAGGACTAGAGAGGTAGACCCGGGGACCCAGGAAAAAGGGGACAGAAGGGAGTGGGCTCATGGGAAAGAGGTAAAGTGACTGTGGGAAGGAGGTGGGAGGCTCCATGAGGTGGCCTTTTAGAATTGAGGAGTCATAGCCACTCATGCCCAGACTGGAGGCCTAGTTCCAAGCTCTGTCCTTGGGAATCGTAGGGAGCAAGAGCGGTTGCCTTGCCAGGAGCTGGGGCGTTGGACCATCAGGGTCGTCTTCAAGATTCTTTCCAGGGAGGACTTCAGTGGCCATCTCTGGGATGCTTTTCCTGGGTCCAAAAGCTTAGCTTCTGACTCCACCCCGCAACATCCCACACGTCAGACAAAAACAACGACTCCTAGGAAATCTATGTGAATTGCAAACACGTGGTCTTCCCCGCCCCACTGCCGCTGCGGCACTTTAGGCAGCCGGCATCCCGGAACAGAGCTGCATCTCATTATCCTGGCCTCTGGGAGGAGTTTATTTTTCCTTGGGTTTCAAGTCACCCTACCTGAGGTGCTCCCTCTGCAGAGGCCCAGACCCAATTAGCAGTGCAGTTTCTGGCTCTGGTGGCTTCGATGGGTGTCAGTCTTTATCGAGTGGCCTTGGTGATCCAGGGAGCTGTAGCTCTTGCAAGCATTTTCTAACAAGACATCACCTCTGTTTGTATTGCAGCCCCGTATTGAGCTGAGATGGCTCAAGCCTAACATTCCATGATCCAGGATCGTGACAGATGTGCACAGGGTGCTGCTGTTGCTGCTGTGGGTGATTTGGAACCACGAGGCAGCCCAAGGCCAGGAGACAAGGCATTTTCTCTGCCTGGATGTGTGGGAACTCCCTGCCAACTTGATTGGTGGATCTGGGGGGGATCCACCCCCACCCCACCAGCAAAGCACAATTGATTTTGTGGGGTGGGGCTTCACGTGCCAGCCAGCTGAAGGATGGCCACCCCTGTGGTCACCAAGACAGCCTGGAAGTTGCGTGAGTGGTTTTCATTTTTCTTTATCGCCTCATTTATTCTGTTAGCTGCTTGTTGCTGGGGGGACTGAACCCACAGCTTTGTTTCCTGATCTTGGTATAGGAGGAGACTCCTAGACTTTGGACTAAGATAGACCATGATGTAAATCATGATGGTGGCACTTCTTAGCTGGGTGACATTGGGCAGGTGACTTAACCTCTCTGAGTCTGTTTCTTCTCTGTGCAATGAGATAATGACGCCTGCATTCGAAGGTTGCTGTGAAATTCGGGTGACAGGATGGACATTGTAAAGCACTTGGCACAGGATTTCCAGTTAGGCTGACAGTAGGGTGAGGAATCCTGAATGATGTTCTCAGTATTTTCAGACATCTCACAAGTCAAACTTCCCCAGTCAGATGAATGCATCCTGAGCCTGGCATGGGGGAAGGAGTGGGAGCGAAGAGGGGCGGGCCGAGGGATGCAGACAGGGCTGGGCACTGCCCAGGCCCACCATTGCCTTATACAAGTTGGTCTAGACTCTCATCTAAAGACTTCATACTCATCCAAATTACTGAGGACCCCAGAGTGCTTTTTTTGGTTGGAGTTGTATCTGTCAGTATTTACCATGGTAGAAATTAATATTGAAACATTTTCTAACAAGAATATATAATCAAATAGGCCTCTAGTGGTGTTCTGGGAAACTCCACCATATGCTTATGAGCAAATAAGAGTGCAAAAGGCAGATGCCATCTTAGTGTTACTGTGAAAATCCTTTTGTCTTAGACCCCCCGAAAGGATCTTGAGGATCCCAAGCATCCCCAGATCATATTTGGAGAATTCCCCTACACATTGGCACCTCAGTGGGCCCTGCCCTACCTGTTGTAACTAGCTGGCATAGCTTTTGTGTGCTGCACCTGGTCACTCTCTGCTGTGAGCTGTCCTGGGCTGGTTTT